ACAAATAAACTCAAAGGATTCTTGAGCTTATTTGGTGAAGTCTTGTTTTAAATAACATCGCCATTATAAGTAGGTATGAGAACTATAGGCCTTCCAAACATAACTTGTTTGGCACAGACTGAAATAATAATGACTATATGTTCTTTTAAGAGATAAGCATTCTAATTGGCTTCCACTTTCAGGAGGAGTGGCTGAGCTAAGAAAAATATTACTCTAAAAGTCATGTGTAACTGTAGCACTAGAATGTGAATTTAGTACCCTGGTGACGCAGTGGTTAAATACTTGGCTTCTAACTGAAAGGTCAGTGGTTAGAACCTACCAGCTACTCTGCAGGAGAAAGATGTGGCAGTCTGCTTCCATAAAGATTACAGCCTTGGAAACCATATGGGGCAGTTCTACTCTGTTCTGTAGGGTTGCTGTGAGTCAGAATCAACTTGACAGCAACAGGATTTTAATATACTCTAGTAGCACTAGAGTGTAAATGTAGTACTAGGTATATATTCTAGTGCTACATTTAGTTTTGCGTCTTTGCCTATATAACCTCAACCTGGGTTAGATTTTAGGGCCCTATGTTTTAGACCAGGGAGATCTTACTCTAATTCTTAACTTAGTTATAGGTCTCCCAAGTGATGCTTATTTGAAAGCCTTCAGTTGGTGAGTTATGTGTTATTCTGAACCAAATAAGCAACCAAAAGGATAGGACATCTTGGGTTTCCTCTGCCCTTCCTAGGACCACAAGTTAGGTCTGAATAGGCTAGAGAATGGTAAAGGTTTAGTGATAGGACAGCCCCAAGGTTAACTCCTGGAATCTTTCACAGTAGAGATTGTGGGATTGCCCAGGGAAGCCATAGTAAAGAGTAGAAGTGGATTTCAAAATCACTTGTGTTTTTTCAGTTTCTCCTTTCCAGCACAAAGCATGGAGAAATCCAAAGAACAAAACAAATGTTAAGTGAGAAAGCTGTTTGTGCCTCTAAAAAGGAGTAAAGAATATTGATTTGAGATGGTATTATAATTTGTAATGTCTTTCTTCCAAAGTAGGGGAGGGGGTAAATCATTGTGACTCTTGGTTTATAAATGTTATTTCTATTCATAAACTTGCAGGAAAATGTGGGGACAAACATTTCAGAAAATGAATACCCCAGAACAATTTATCAGAGCAACATGAAATATTCAGAGACTTATGAGCCCATAAAATATTTTTTGGGGAAATACGTAACTTTTTCAAGGTGGCAAGATTTAATTTTTTTAAAAGTTTATTCACTGTGAAGATGAGTAAAAATATTGGTAGGTTTCCTCTTTACCAAAAATCTTCCTGCCCTCTTGCCCTGATCATTTGGTTTGTCCAATTAGAATGAATGGCTTAGTAATCTATGACATTTGAGTACCTAAGCTGCTGTTAGGTAAGCCAGGAGAGTGAAAAATAAATTTGGCAGAAATTGTACCAAGTGGTAAAATAAACAACTCCAGGTCTTTTTTTTGTGTGTGTGTTCTGCAGAGTCTCATGGCCAACTGTTCTTCCCATAGCAAATGTGTCTTCATCATAAATGTAGCATCAAGTCCTTGGGATTTAAAAATAATATTTGGTGCTGTCAAGTGATGCCAACATCTGTGGCTGCCTGGAGCAGGGTGTGACCCAAGTGGCTTCGGTACAAAGGGCTCTGATCCATAAACCATTTCAAAAGAAATGAACCTTTCTTCATCTGTTGCTCTCTAATGAAACACTCCCTCTCAGGTCTGCTCGTCTGCATAAATCCCCGACAGCCTCATATGGCTCACATCAGGTTTTATTTTCTCCCAGAAGCCTTCCTCTTCCATTTCTTTAAGTACCTCCCTCCTTAAATTTCTCTTTTCCTTGCCATGAGGACCCCTGCAGTTTAGCACTTAATAGGGTATACTCTTAAGATCTGTTGTTTAATTATTGCTTATAGATTAGATAAAGCACCATGCCTACTGCTACTTTTCCACTTCGCATAGGACCTAGGACAGGGCTCATAAGCTGTGCTCCTTAGCAGTTGATAGCTACTAGCTAGCTAAGAACTGGCGTTCTTAAAATAGCTGGTATGTTAGAACAGCTGAGAAACTGATAATGGGGCCATGTACTCAAGGTCATGTGATTTGTACACTACTCAACTCCAGGAGACACCAGTCCCATAGACCATGAAGTCAATGCCGTCCCCTGTAATTATGCAGCTTGGTGGCCCTGCATGTCCTCCCTGGTCTATAAGTGGCCCGTGTTTTCATGTCACTGTATTCCATTAGCTGGTCTGGAGAGTCTTCCCCACTTCTTCCCTTGCATATTTTTGTCAGTCTCAGTGGGAAGTTGAAAATGAGGAAGAAGTGAATCTAACTGTTCCATAACTCTTTAGGACTTTTGTTTTCAAAATTACGTTCTGATCCCTTGCATCAGAAAAACATGGGGTGGGTGCTGGTTAAAATGTGGATTCTTGGGCCCCAGCCCAGGAGTAGAGCTAGGGGTTTTAATGAGCAAAACTGTTGATTCTTATGCACTTCACTAAAGACATGATTGTTGAAACAGCTTCTTAGTAAGGCGGAAATTATAGTGTCTTAAAGGGTTAATGCAGCTGTCCTTAACCTGTTGTACTGTCCACTGTAAACCTTTTCTGATTCATTTAAAATCAGTCACTATTCAGTGAGTAGTTGCTCTGTGCTCACCACCATGCCAACTAGACTGGGAGAATGGATGTGAAAAATATGGCCCTTGCTCTCAAGGGGCTAATAACCTGTTGGAAAGAAAATATACACAATAAGTATGTATACATACACACCTTTATATGATGCTTTATATATGTATAGATACACACGTATATAGACATATTTTTAAACAGATCATTATCAAGAGCACCTGTCTATAGAATTATCACTTTGATGTCACTTTGATGACCAAGGTACTCCTGACCCAACCGATGATCTTTTCAGTCACCTCATATGCATGTGAAAACTGGAAAATGAAAAAGAGAGGCAGAAGAATTGATGCATTCAAATTGTGATGTTGGTGAAGAATATTGAATATACCATGGACTGCCAGAAGAACAAATAAATCAATCTTAGAAAACATATAACTTGAATGCCCTTAGAAGCAAGGATGGCAAGACTTCATCTTGTTTACTTTGGACATGTCATCAAAAAGACCAGTCACAAGAGAAGGACATCTCGTCTGGTAAAGGATCAGCAAAAATGAAGAAAGCTCTCAATGAGTTGGATTGACACAGTTGCCTCAACAATGGGCTTAAACATTATGGAGATGGCACAGGACCAGTCTGCGTTTCATTTTGTTATATGTAAGGTTGTCCGTTTTCATAATTGAGAGGTATTTTGGGGATCACATATAGTTCACCGTGACCAAATTCCAGTGTATTACTTCAAGCAGGCATTTACATGAGAGACAAGCTCTATGGAGTAGGGACTTAACATAAATAGCCATTAGAACAAGCTTAGCACGAGTTAGCTGCTATTATTAGTAGGGTTTGAACCCAAGCTATTTGAATTGTAGTTTGGTAGTTTCTTCTCAGATGTTTTAGAGCTGGAAGGAAACTTGAAGAGCATCTCCTCCTACTTTATTTTATTGACCCTCGATCAGACTCACTGTGATCTTTTTTTTTTGGTTTAAATCCTAATCCTTGAGTCACTTTTCCTTGTGTCCTGTCTCCTTTTTCCTAAAGGTGATAGAATAAATTCAAGGAAATTTAGGATTGTACTTTAAAACTTTTATTTTATTGTCCCCATCAGGGCCAGCCTGAGGTTTTCTGCTACCTTTTATAAAATTTATGACTGGCATAATTCTGATTTTTACTGCTTTCTTTATGCAAATATACACCCAATCTTTTGCTGATGGCAGCACTACTGTTTCTTCGTGGCCAGACTTAAAAATTTTTCTGGAAACTTTAAAAGCATGGAATAAAAACTTTGTGGGTGAAATGGAGGTTGAAATAGGAAATTGGGGGAAATAGTGGAAACACGTGCCAAGATTTTTGGCACCCTTTGGAGGTCTAAAGAACTTTTTTTTTTTTTCCTTTCTTTCTTTTCTTTAGTAGAAGCAAAAGCGGGGTGAGGGAGGTGTCAGGCACAGTTTGCTCATAAAAATAAGAAGGTTTGGAAGATATATTTAAATATATGAAGGCCAGGAATTCATTAATATAATGATAATTTGTGCTTCTTTCACCTTCTAAACACCCCTTTGGAGGAGACTAGTAAATTAAAAAATGAAGCTTTAGAAAAGTTACATTTTTGTATTCTTTTCCCCCTCTCTCTCTGAGTCCTCTTACAGTTTTGTAGTAGAGGTTAAGAAGAGGTGAAGAATGAGTACTAGTACTTCTGGTTGCCCATCTTGAAATGTGATTATATGGACAATTTGACAATTTCCTTCAAACCATGAGAGCGCAGCACAAAGTTAAAGCATTGGGCTGCTGGCTCTTTCTTCCATCTCTCTTGTCTCCAGGTGTGGTTTTGATAAATTGCTGGACTTTTAAAACCTCACATAGAGGATTAGGGGTATTGAATATGAGCTTTAAATTTTTATCGGATTTCTAAACTCTCCAAAAAAAATCTATATAGTTAATAACTTGATAAAGGACTGTATTTAAGACATGTATAGTATTATGTGTCTGTGTCTATGTATGTATGTGTGTGCCCTGCCACTAAAGATTGAATTCTCTCCGCTGTGCCTAAAAAATGTCAATATATGTTGAAATAAAACAAATGAAATAATTAGTTCTAGTTTCCTAGTGCCTTTTAGCCTTTTTTTTTTTTAAATAACATCTTGATTTCCCTTCCAGCCTCTGTTTTGCTTTGGTGGGCTTATTAACTTTGAATTCTTGACTGATTCCATGAAGATTATGATTTTTATTTCTGCCATGGTTTTATAATCTGTGTGTGTCTTTAAAACTGAATTTTTTTTTATAAGAAGAGAACAATATTCGTTTAATAACTGATTTTATAAGAACCTGACTTACTTTTAATCAACCTTTCTTTTCTTTTTTCAGAGGATGTTAAGCGAGTTTTTGGACAGACCACAATTCATCAGCAGATTCCATTTAACTGGGATTCAGAATTTGTGCAACTACATTTTGGAAAAGAAAGAAAACGACACTTGACATATGCGGAATTCACTCAGTTTTTATTGGTGGGTCTAGCTTTTAAAAAGTTAAAAAGAGTAAATAAATAAAACTGGGATTAAATTGGATACAAAAAGATACTAGTTTTGACTGGAGCCCCAAACTCTTGATTTATTTACAAAAATTCTACCCCTGGCAAAACTATCCGATTTATGGATATTTCTTTATTAGTACATAGAAATTATTGAATTAAATGGGGTCTTACAGAGTGTATAGTGGAACCTTTTCATGTTTAAAAAGCATACATGCTGAGACTCCATGAAATCAAGTGATTTTGCCTAAGATCACATAAGTAAAGAGGATCAAAATTGGAACTTGAACTCTAGGTTTGTGACTCGTTCCGCTACTGTTTTCCAACATTTCTTTTCCCCCCGAGAAATGGGTGCATGTCATGATCAGCGTCTGTCTTAGTTATCTATGTTGCTGTAATAGAAATATCACAAGTGGGTGGTTTTAACAAACAAATTTATTTTCTCACAGTTTAGGAGGCTGGAAATCTGAATTCAGGGTGCTGGTTCTCGGGGAAGGATTTCTCTCTCTGTCCGTTCTGGGGGAAGATCCTTGACTCTTTAGCTTCTGTTCCTTGGCTCCTTGGTGATTTTCATGTAACTGGCATCTATCCTCCCCCAACTGTGTTTCCTTGCTTAATCTGCTCTTTTAATATCTCAAAAGAGATTGATTTAAGACATACCCTACACTAATACTGCCTCATTAACATGACAGAGAAAGCTCATTCCCAAATGGGATTATAACCACAGGTATAAACCAAAACAAAAACCAAACCTGTTGCTGTCGAGTCGATTCTGGCTCATAGCGACCCTATATGTATAGGGGTTAGGATTTACAACACTTATTTTTGGGGGACACAATTCAATCTGTAACACAATCTAACTATAGAATCAGTTCACCTGAGACCTTCTAGAGTTCGAAGGCACTGGATCTAAACATGGCTGCTCATTGGAATCACCAGGGGAGTTTTAAAAAACACTGTTGCCTGGAAGGTACCCCTTGTGGCCCTCTTCCATTCATAACCTCCCACTCCAAGACAACTACTATCCTGATTTCTAATGACATTGATGAATTTTGCTTGTTTTGTACTTATGAAAATGAAATCACACAATTAAAAAAAAAAAACCTTCTATCATCTGGGTCCCCCCCTTTTAGAGACTGGATTGAATGGGTCTTGGGGTATTTAAAGCTTCCCGGGTGCTTCAGTGTATAGCCACTTTGAGAAACATTGTTCTCAGGGCACTTGTTTCCCTGTCTGGGGTTAAACTCTGTAGAAGCTGTCTGCATTTCTGGGGTACATCTTACCTGGCCCAGTACCCCCAGCCCTTCTCTCCTTACACCCTCCCATTAGTGTCATGTCGTTGGCCCACTGATGTTGCCAACAGAAGAGTACTAACGACATAGGATTACTGTTTAGTTTTCTTCCTTATGCATGATTTTAAAGGTGTTTTAATGTTAACATTTAGTCACCAGACGTCTATATCTATATGCTATATTGGTCTATATGATAAACCACTCCTTCTTTTGGAATTTTATGCTTTTTTTTGCTTTGATCATATCTGGGTCCTGAGGAAAACTTTGCCAAGGAATTCACCTTTGGTTCCTTGTCACTAGAAATGTCATCTGTAGCTATCTTGGTGCCTCTGCTTTTTTCTTGTGTCCGAGACCTTACCAGACTCCTCAGAGGAGTGGTTAGAAACACAGCACCCACACGTACATGATGTTGTGGGGGCTTCATTCAGCAAGTGTTTTTGGTACATTCTCAGGCCCTAGTATATGTGACAGGTTTACTTTAATAGATGTTTCTCTTTTTTACTTTCCTTTTAACGGTATCTTTATGATATATAGAGTTTGGCATCCTATTTAGTTTACTTTCACTTTCCTGCACAAGATGTCTTAAATCTGCCTTTGTATTTTTTAAAAACATGTTAATGTCTGTGAATCCCCATTTTCAGTTCTGTATAAACATAAACCTATTTCAGTAACTCAGGTGGAGAATGGAATGTGGGTTGTTGGATTTTTGCTGTTGTTTACACAAGACACGGGCACGAAGTAGGAGGCGGTATTCATTTTGATGAGAAATAATGACAATAATGCTGTTGAGACAAATGCCTCAGATTGACTTTATGGAACATAACCGAATTAACTTTTAGTCTTAATGGGATGTTAGCAATGGTAAGGATGATCGCATTTCCCTCTAAGCAAGTATCAATTATGCTGAATTGAGTCAACTATAAAACCATTCACAGGAGCTTCTAGGCCTTCTTCAAGATATGGGGAAGTCCGAGTCAAGGATTAGATGACTCAGGGCTTACCAGTTATATTTCCAGTTGTAACTTATAGGGCATTCACTTAAATCTGACTAGATTCTATTTAAAAAAAAAAACTTGTTGCCATTGAGTTGATTCCCATAGTGACCCTGAAGGACAGAGCAGAACTGCCCCATAGGGTTTCCAAGGCTATAAATCTTTATGGAAGCGGACTGCCACATGTTTCTCCCACTGAGCGGCTGGTGAGAACCACCAACCTTTCGGTTAGCAGCCGAGCGCTTAACCACTTCGCCACCAGGGCTCCTTGATTCTATAATAGTAAATGCAAACATCCTACAGTGTCCTGCTTGGGATGATTTTGCCTTTGTAACCAAAATGTAGATGTTAAACTTTTACTAGATTAAAATGGTTGTAGTGGTTAATTGTCTTGGTCAGGGCATTTCTTTCGTGTCCTATCTCAGACCCAAATTTAAAGGAATTAATGGATGGTGATAGGCTTTATTTGAATGCCTAGGAAATGACAGTTTTGATGAATACCACTGGGTCACTTCCCTCAGCTTCAAACGCTTTGTTTGCTTCCTTTGAGCTTTTTTCTGAATACAGATAAGGGCTTCAAACCTCTACTTCAAACACTTTGCTTGCTTCCTTTGGCCTCTTTTCTGGATTCAGGTAGCTTCTTAAAGATGTAAGTGAATTTAATCTCCTGTGTTTTAGGCTCCTGCTTTGTCAGGCATGCTCCCACCCCTCTGCTCTAGGCAAGGCTCAGAAACACGGGCACAGACTCCCCAGCTGGCGCCGAGGCTCTGAAAGCAGATGCTTGCTGTTTGAGATGTGAAGGTGCCGCCCCCTGCATGCCGCTGCCTGTCACCTCGTGAGGAAGAAGAGCAGCCGTAGGGACAGCTGAGAAGTGCTTGTGGTTTCGGGGAGCCTGAGTGCAAAGTAGAGACTGTACTGCTCTATCCCACTGAGGGTCCCTAGAAGTTTGCTCAGGCCTGACATTTGCGTGTGTTACCCATGCTTATGTCTGTATACATGTGTGGGGCTGGTGGGCCAGTTCTCTTCTGCAGTGCCATTTTCTGCAAGTTCTGCTTTTAAATTTTTTTTATTTCTTCATTTAATAAATGTTTTGCTCTATCTGAGCAAGTGTGAGTCTGTTATAAGCCACTGTATTCATTTCCCAGGGCTGCTGTAACAAAATACCACAAATTAAGTAGCTTGTAAGAATAGAGAGGAGCCCTGGTGGCACAGTGGCTAAGCGCTCGGCTGCTAACCAATAGATCAGTCATTCAAACCCACCAGCCACTCCACGGGAGAAAGGGTCGCTCTGGATGGGAATCGACTTTACAGCAATGGGTTTGGTTTTTTTTGGTTCATAAGAATAGCAATTTATTGTCTCACAGTTCTGGAGGCTACAAGTCCAAATTGAGGATGTCAGCAGGCCTGCCCTGCCTCCAAAGGCTCTAGGGAAGATCCTTTCTTACTGCTGCCGGCTTCTGATAACCCCAGGTGTTCTTTGGCTTGCAGCTGCATCAATCTCTGCTTTCATCGTCACATGGCCATCTTCCCTCTGTGTGTCTCTCTGTGTCTTTTCTCTTCTTTTATAAGGATACCACTCAGATTGGATTGGGCCCGCCTACTGCAGTATGACCTTATATTAACCTAACTGATAGTATCTTCAAAGACCCTATTTCCAAACAAGGTCATTCACAGATACCAGTGGTTAGGATTTCAGCATATCTTTTTGGGAGACACAGTTCAGTCCATAACAGTCACCTTATGGCTGTGAGGATTTCACTTGGCTCACATGTTCATCTGTGTATGGTCTGGACATTGTGCCCAGCCACTGAGGTGGTGGTGGTCATATAAGCATCGCTTGAATGGTAAGCTGGTATGTCATTTTCTGTGTGTTGGTTATAAAATTCATAAAGTAGAGAATCAATTTTATATCCTTTGAGTTTAACTTGCCTTATTTATACTTTGCATCTAAGTAATAATGTTGAAGCAAGTAGCATGGACAAAAACAAAGCTTCCTTCTCACGTCCTTGTTCCTGGTTCGTACATAAAGATCTCAAAAGGGAGGGAGTGGGGCCTCATTCCTGTCATCCTGTTATGGATCAAATTGTGTCCCTCAAAAATAAATACTGTAAATCCTAACTCCTATATGGTTGGAAACCCTGGTGGCATAGTGGTTAAGAGCCACAGCTGCTAACCAAAAAGTCAGCAGTTCGAATCCACCAGGCACTCCTTGGAAACTTTAGGGGGCACTTCTACTCTGTCCTATAGGGTCACTGTGAGTCGGAATCGACTGGAAAGCAGACAGCAGTGGGTTTTATACTTGTGGTTGTTACCCATTTGGGAATGGATTTTCTTTCTTATGTTAATGGGACAGGGTGTGTCTTAAGTCAATCTCTTGAGATATGAAAAGAGCAGATTTAGCAAGCAAGCAAGCAGAAATGGGGAAAGACAGATGCCATGCCACATGAAGTCTCCAAGGAACCAAGAAACTGAAGCTGAAAAGCAACAAAGACCTTTTCCCCAGAGCTAACAGAGAGAGAAAGCCTTCCTCTAGAGCTGGCACCCTGAATTTGCACTTCTGGCCTCCTAAACTATGAGAAAGTAAATTTTTGTTCGTTAAAGCCACCCACTTGTGGTATTTCTGTTATAGCAGGGCTAGATAACTAGGACACACCCAATCATTAATACTGTTGCAGCTGTTTCTATTCCCAGTT